ATATAGTGATATTATCCATCTCCCTTGCTAGATGGTAAACTCTGAGACCACGAAACAAGGTTCTTGTTCACACCTGTAGGTCTACTATGTGAAGTGCCCGGCTTAGAACACTCAAAACAGCAAGTGAGTGAGTCCATGAATCACCCACACCTGCCCCCCACTGTGCCCAAGTCACTCCAACCTTACGGAGAGAGGAGCCAAAAGGGAACTCCCCACTTCCTTGAATCCACTTTTTTTTTTTTAAGATTTTTTTATTGGGGAATTGGGGGAAGGGGAACAAACAAGTTGCTATCCTTTTTGTTCTTCAGTCTAGTTGTGGAGGACGTTGCTTCACTGGCCCAAGTTGGCACCATCATTGCGCTCTTCCCGGGCAAGGCAGACAGTCACCGGCTTCTGGACGGCCGCTCACTGCGGCTGCTGGCCGCTCACGCTGGCTGCTGGCTACACACGGTAGCCCATGGCAACCCACTGCCACAGGGGCTGCAGCCTACGCCGTCGCCGTCGCTGGCGACTCACAGCAGCCCAGCTCCAGGTTGAGCTGTTGTTCAGCATCTTAGCTGTAGAGGGCAGTGTCACTGGCCCTCATATGTGGGATCCGAATCGGGGCCCTCTGGCATCCCAAGCCAACTCTTAACCAATGCGCCATTCGGCAGGCCCCTTGAATCCACTTTTTAAAAAATAAGGTATGGGGCTGGCCGAGTGGCTCATTGGTTAAGAGTTGGCTTGGGAGCACTAGTTCTGAGCAGCAGGGCCATCGGTTCGGATCCCACAAGGGCCAATGATGCTGCGCCCTCTACAGCTAAGATGGTGAACAACAGCTCGACCTGGACCTGGGCTGCCGTGAGTCGCTGGCGACAGCATAAGCTGCAGTGGGCTGCCGTAAAGCTACCATGAGCGGCCGTCCAATGGCTGGCGACTGATCTGCCTCAGCCAAGAGGAGCGCAATGATCACAATACCAACATAGGCCAGTGAAGCGATGTCCTCCACAACTAGACTGAAGAACAAAAGGAGAGCAACTTGTCTGTTCCCCTCCCCAATTCCCCAATGCTGTTTCCTCCCCCAATTTCCCAGTAAAATCTTAAAAAAATAAATTAGGTATAATATACACAATCCTAAGTGTATAGCTTGGCAAATATTTTCATGGTATACATCTGTGTAAGCACCACCCCAATCAAGATAAGGAATATTGTCATCACCCCAGGAAGTTCCTTTCTGCCCTTCCTAGTCAATTCTTGGCCCTCTTCTTACATCACCAGGGTTAGCTTTATCTGTTCTAGAAAGTTGCAGAATTGGAAACACACAACATGGCCTTCACTGTGTCTGTTAGTTGCCAGGGGCACTTTGAATTTTCAGCCAGCCTGTAACTGGCCAGCACACCTGCGCCTGCACGCCTGCTTTCTAAAAGGTCAGTGGTTCCCTTTCTTCTGGTTTGGCCTCATCCTGGATCATTCTGGATCTCTACCTCTCAGAGTTGCAAAGTACAGAAATTAATGCTGGCCAACCCAAGCAGAAAAGAGCTTTGGTAAAGCCTGCTGGTAACTCATAGACCATGCAGGAGGGTAGGAGGTGCTGGCCTGGAAGACCACACAACCAGGAGCAGCTGCTGGGGACAAGGTGAAATAACCATTACATGACCCTGCCCTTGTGGAGCTGATCTGAAGGGGGAGGCAGGCAATACACAGTAAGCAAAGTATATATGTCCCATAAGTGGCAAGTGCAGTGGACAAAAACAAAGTGAGCTGAGGGGTGTGCAGAGCTTGGGTAGGTGCAGTTTGAAATGAGACAGTGCACAGGAAAGTATGGGGAGCTGAGGGACAGAGGGGAAGCAAGTTGCTGGGAGAAAAGCCTTCCAGACACAGGGAACAGCCAGTGCAAAGTCCCAGAGGTTGTCTATACTTGTGGAAGGAGCAGCAAGGAGGCTCCAGGGGCTGGAGTGGAGCAAATGAGACAGGATGGGAGGAAGGAACATTCAAGAAAAGGTATATGGTTTTTATAAGGCCCTGTGGACCCAATGCAGACAGTGGCATTCACCCTGAGTGTGCCAAAAGCTGTTTGAGGGTTTGGGACAGTGAAAGCATAGGACCCATCCTGCGCCGCTCCCTTGCACACACCCTCTAGTCCCTGCTCCTCTCCACCAACTCCAGCTGAATCTAACTCTCTGTCTTCACCTCGCACCTGGGTGAGTTTGGGGGGAAAAAAAGAAAGAAAAAAAAAACCCAACAACCTCCCTAACGTTTCTCATTCATGTGGTACTCTTCCATGCAATGATTCGGTTGTTGGAAAACTCATGACGAATTTTGTCTATGTTTTTCAAAGGTCATTTGTTTATATAAAGAACAAAGATCAATCAATGATATATTGCCCGTTGTGTTCGATAACCTTTTGCCATCTTTCGGTGAGCTTCATAATTCCTTGTTCATAGAAGGACCTGTCTTTATTTGCAAAAAACTGAACAAGGTGCTGATTTATAGCCTCATCTGATTGAACGTTATACCACGCAAGGAGTTTTTTTAAAAATATTTTTATTGGGGAATTGGGGGGATGGGAACAGCACTGGGGAATTGGGGGAAGGGGAACAGACAAGTTGCTGTCGTTTTGTTCTTCAGTCTAGTTGTGG